CTTGTATGTGTGGAGAAATTGATCAAATTATTTATTAGGCATTTAAGGTTTCTTCCTATATCATTACACAATTGTATGATAAATTTAAATATAAAAGTTATATTTAAGTGCATTAATAAAGAACTGAATTATGAAATCCCACTTTTTAATTATGAAGGTACAATTATCCCCATGCAAAATCTGTCTCAAGTCACAACTCTGCACATGGGTGGCACAGATAAGATGATCATTTATACACTGGGATCTAGGCAGCAGTGCAATCTGGTCCTGTCTGTGCGACTCATCAGCCCTTTCGAGGAGCCACTCTGCTCACCCCACATGAGGAAGGGGCTAGAACAGTTGCCCTAAACATAACCTGCCAAAAAAAAAACCTGACTGAGCAACCTCACTAAGTAAGGTCATCCTTATGCAGTCAAAAAAAACAAAAACAATCATAATCACAGATCAAAACAAAAACAAACTATACAACCTCTTATGGTCGCTGCATGGAATGTCAGGACCCTTCTGGATACTGGCACAAATGAGCATCCTGAAAGAAGAACTGCCTTTGTGGCAGAAGAGCTGGCTAGGTATAACATCGACATAGCAGCCATTAGTGAGTCCTGGCTCCCAGACGAGGGTCAACTCACAGAACGGGGGTCTGGCAACACCTTCTTCTGGAAGGGTAAGCCTGCTGCGGAGAGAAACCGCATTTATGTAGTTGACTTTGCCTATCGCCAACATATCCTACACAGGCTAACTGAAATGCCTATTGGGATCAATGAACGCCTCATGACGCTCTGAGTCCCACTGAATCACTCATGTAATGCCTTTTTCATCAGAGCATAAGCCCCAACACTGAATGCAGAATATGACATCAAGGAGGCCTTTTATGTCGACCTCAACAGAGTGCTAACCTCTATCCCCAGAGAAGATAAGGCTGTGCTCCTTGGTGATTTCAATGCCAGAGTTGGCAGAGATGCTGACATTTGGCAGGGAACCATAGGGAGAAATGGACTAGGCAAGTGTAATCCCAATGGCCTACTCCTCCTCAGCAAGTGTGCTACACATAACCTCACTATCACCAACACCTTGTTTAGGCAGGCCGACAAGTTCAAGGGTTTGTGGCAACACCCATGATCCAAACACTGGCTTCTTATTGACAACATCATTCTCAGAGAAAGAGATCACTGATATGTCCTCATCACCTGTGCCATGCATGCCTCAGACCGTTGCATCACTGATCATCGGCTCGTCAGAGCCGAGCTCTCACTTCACGTCGGTCCTAATGGCGAAGGCAGCTAGCCTCCAGAAGAGGTGTTAGCACTGAGTGTCTGGAGGATCCAGCAGTAGCATATGCTTTCAGAGAGCAGCTCGAACATGGGCTGATAAACAACCCGACAACAAACCCAAATCCGAGTGCTGAATGGGATTTTCTCGACACTGTCATGACAAAAACCTGCACAGAGACCCTCGGCCAGATGAAAAGAATACACCAAGACTGATTTGATGAAAATGACCCAGCAATCAATGTACAAATCGATGATAAACGTGCTACCTTAACTGACTGGCAAAACAACCCTCAGGTCAAGCAAGTGGCTTACGCTGATGACCTAACAGGAGCAAGAAAAGTGGAGGACATCAAAAAGTGGTGGGACTTGGTAACATCACAAGCTCCGCAAATAGGGTACCATCCAAACGCCAGCAAGTCCTTCCTCATTGTGAAGCAAGAACACTACGAACGGGCAATGGAGGTGTTCGGTGGAAGTGAGGTCAAAATAACAAAGGACAGCCAAAGACATCTAGGTGCGGTAATTACCAAGAATGACTTCAAAACCGAGTATGTAACGTGAAAGGTTAATGAGCGTGAGAAGGAAATCCAAGCTCTGTCTGATATTGCTAACACAGAGCAACATGCGGCTTTTGCAGCATTCACCCATGGAGTCAAGCAACGCTGGAATTACCTGATGCTCATTATCCCTGATATCGGACCCCTCCTCCACCCTCTGGAAGAAGCCATCAGTGTCAATTTTATTCCAGAATTAGTGAAACACCTTCACTAAACCCCAGCACAAAGGTCAATCCTTGCACTACCACTGAGCTTGCTGACACCAAACACCAAAACTCAGTCAAGCTCACGGCAGCCCTCACTGAGCACTTAATAGCTCAGAATGCAACAAGTGAGGTGGATACCAAGGAACTAAACAAGATTCAACGGTCTATTATGACAGAACAAAAGCAAACCCAAAGTGATAAACTGCAGCAACTGATGCTGCAAGTGCCAGAGAACTTAAAAAAAAAGTAGCTATAGTGCAGGAGGTGGACGCCTCGAACTGGCTAACAATGTTACCGATGAGTGAAAAAGGTTTCAGTCTTAATAAACAACAATTTACAGTTGCCATTGTTCTAAGGTACAGTAGGCCAGTAGAAGGTTTGCCTTCCCAATGTGTGTGTGGCTCTTCCTACGACATCGACCATGCCATGGTGAGCAAGAGAGGGGGCTTCGTATGCTTGAGGCATGACGAAGTAAGGGATCTCACAGCAAATATGTTGAAGGAAATCTGTCATGATGTCAGGGTAGAACTGACCCTCCTTCCATTGGACGGTGAGAATTTCCATCATAGAACTTCAAACACATCAAATGAAGCCCGTGTGGACGTCAGTGCTCGAGGATTGTGGACGCAGGGACAGCGAGGCTTCTTTGACATAAGGATTTTTTATCCCATGGCCACATGTCACCGTAACATAGCTCTTGATGCTGCACACAGGAGGAACGAGATTGACAAGATTAAGCATATGGGGAGAGAATTCATAATGTTGATCAGGGCAGCTTCACTCCTTTGATGTTCACAACCTCTGGTGGGATGGGACCAAGTGCAAGATGTTTCTATGCCAGACTAGCAGAGGTGTTATCTGAATGGAAGCAGCAGCCCAGAAGTTAAGTCACAGCCTGCTTGAGATGACGACTGTCCTTTTCTTTGCTTAGGTCTGCATTGCTCTGCTTCTAGGGAATGAGATCTTCGGCCCCAAATCCGACAACGGTCACACATATTGACTATGAGGCAACAGTCACTGAATGCCGCATAGATCTACGGCTCAACTAACTCAACACAGCTAGGGTAGGTATTTTTGTATTAGGATACCTAATTTTAAGGTAATAAAATGGCGGCGAAGGTGTGGCTATTGGGGAGGTCCTTCAGGCCTGGATGCAAACGATTGGAGAGTCATCCTCAGCACTACCAAATTTGGTGCCATAGCAAGTGATCTTTGCAATGCCATTGGTGCCCTTGCAAGAAAGCTAGCAACCTCATGCTGCCACCACCTCTATGCTCTGATGGCCTGCTGCCTCATTCCCCTGGATAAAAATCCAGGATGTAGGCCTATAGGAGTGGGGGAAGTGCTGAGGCGGATCATCGGAAAATGTGTAATGGAGGTGATAAATGATGATGTCAAGACAGCTGTAAGAAACCTGCAAGTTTGTGCTGGTCACCAGGCTGGAGGGGAAGTTGCCATTAACGCCATAAAAAAGACATTTAAGCAGCGTTATTGTGAGGCAGTACTTCTGGTCAATGCTTCCATTGCATTCAACATAATCAACTGCAAGGCTACCCTGCACAACATCAAGATCAAGTGTCCAAACTTTGCAGTGGATGTTGAAAACACCAATAGGAACCCATGAGACCTTTATATTACAAGCTTCAAGGCCCTAAGAGGAGATACCACCATACAGTCAACTTAGGAAACAACACAAAGGAACCCTGTCGCCATGGCAATGTATGGACTAAACCTATCCTTGCTCCTACATACAATAAAATATGAAACAACTGATTTAAGCAAGTGGCTTACGCTGATGACCTAACAGGACCAGGAAAAGTGGAGGACATCGAAAAGTGGTGGGACCTGGTAACATCACGAGCTCCGCAAATAGGGTACCATCCAAACGCCAGCAAGTCCTTCCTCATTGTGAAGCCAGAACACTATGAACGAGCAATGGAGGTGTTCAGTAGAAGCGACGTAAAATAACAAAGGACGGCCAAAGACATCTTGGTGCAGTAATTGGCACGAATGACTTCAAGAACGAGTACGTAACGGGAAAGGTGAATGAATGGGTGAAGGAAATCCAAGCTCTGTCTGATATTGCTAACACAGAGCCACATGCAGCTTTTGCAGTAGTCACCCATGGAGTCAAGCATTGCTGGAATTACCTGATGCGCATTATCCCTGATATCGAACCCATCCTCCGCCCTCTGGAAGATGCAATCAATGTCGCTTTTATCCCAACACTAGAGAAAAACCCTTACTTAACCCTAGCAGAAAGGCCACTACTTGCACTACCACCGAGACTAGGAGGAATGGGATTGACTAATCCAGTGGAGCTTGCCACTAAAAGACATCAGAACTCTGTCAAGCTTATGGCAGCTCTCACTGAGCACGTAATAGATCAGAATTCAGCAAGTCAGGTAGATGCCAACGAATTAAACAAGATTCGACGGTACATTACGATGGAGCGGCAGCACACCCAAAGTGATAAACTGTAACAACTGTTGCAGCAATTGTCAGAGAACTTGAAAAGAAAAGTAGGAGGTGGGCGCCTAGAACTGGTTCACAACATTACCGAAAAGGGCAAAAGGCTTCATCCTTAACAAACAAGAATTCACAGATGTCATTGCTCTAACGTATGGTAGGCCAGTAGAAAGTTTACCCTCCCAATGCATGTGTGGCTCATCTTATGACATCGACCACGCCATGGTGTGCAAGAGAGGGGGCTTCGTATGCATGAGGCACGACGAAGTATGGGATCTCACAGTAAATATGTTGAAGGAAATCTGTCATGATGTCAGGGTAGAACCGACCCTCCTTCCATTGGATGGTGAGAATTTCCAACACAGGACTTCAAACACATCAAAGGAAGCCCGTGTGGACGTCAGTGCTCATGGATTCTGGACGCAGGGACAGCGAGTATTCTTCGACATGAGAATTTTTTATCCCATGGCTGCATGTCACAGTAACCTAGCTCTCGA